TCGTGCTGCTGGATAAGGCAGGACACGCGTTCCGCGAGTATGGGGTCGGGGATGATTCTAGTCAGGCGCTGGTGCTTGTCCGACCGGATGGATATGTCGGCGCGTATGTTTATGGAACGGAAGGCCTGAAAACGTACACGGAGGCGCTGTTCGGAGGCGCTCCTGTTGTCGCCAAGTCGAGCTGAATGCTCTGTGGACGAGAGTTGCGTTTCGACGTATCATGCCCAGTCAACAAGTGGTATCTCACATGGCACTGTCTGTCGGTAGAAGATAATCAGATGATGACCGCGAGTATCAGCTCGGTCTGCGCACCCTGCCTTGATACCTGAGGGCAGCTCTTCTGTTACTTATGCATTTGGAGGCCGTTAGCCCAAATGTGAACGAATCGATCCTGAGATATCTTCCTCCTCTACAAGGATGTCACCACGAGTGTTCCGGAGTGTGTCGATCTGTGTGGTGGACGAGGACTTCAAAAAAGGAGACGCGCGACGATTTGCCTCCCGCCGCGACGACGCGACGGCCGGTCTCGACGACTTCCTTCCCATTCCCGACTCTCGAAAGTTGACGCACGTACCGCCTGGCCAGTATAGTCAACATGAGACGATTCTGTGAAGTCTGAAAGGAATGCCAAACGCGGTCGCAAGGACCTGGCTCTGACGAACGATATCGACCTGATCCCTGTCTTGGACGCACCAGAGCCTAGGATACGTTTCCCGTACACGACAGGAATCACCCACCGCATCTCTCCTGCTACTCGGAGGTTCAACTCATCTCGAAACTTGTATGTCCTAACACCGTCCCAGTCGCCTTCGATCCTCATGGTACGCGCATACATCCACTGTACATCATGACATCGTGTTCATTCCACTTTTCCCAGGTCGGAGCCGGGCCCACCGGCTTGATACTTGCTCTGGTTCTCGTTCGCAACAGCACCATTCATCATCTAGAAGGGTAAGGCCTCCACCCTGAAATCGGAGAGGACCCGTGTTGGAGGCAGGCGCCCTCAAGACTCAGATAGAGCCAAGTCTATCCCTCCCTCGCGTAAGTTCCCAGAGGATGGCGCGGGCTACTATACTTTGGCTGATAGGTGTTTCGACTCCCGCACATGTTATATATCAATCCGCGGTGGGGCGAGGCCGTCATGTATAACCTCGTCTTCGGAGAGGTGTAGGTTTCAAGGCAGGAGACCAGAGCAACTGGTACTATTCGTTGTAGCCTTATAAGCACGGTATCCTGAGCCGTTACAGCCCGACCCAATGACATACATTGGTGCATGTTCAGATCCCTAGGTGTATATACGGCGCCCATCGGAGCGGCTCAGGCTGGACGGTTCGTAGTTTCGTGACGGCCTCGTCGAGGGCGTACGCGATGTCATCGGGGTCGATGTGATCCAATTTGCTGCTAAATATCTTCTGGTATACAGATCGAGCTATCTCTGGCCCGTCCGCGTCCGCCATGGACCTTGACAGTCGGTTGTAAGTCGGTATCATAGAAATGAGTAGCTGCAAAATGGGACTAACCAAAGCGTAGCGATGACACTTTTGAATCCTGCGAAGAACATGGCGGCGGCGAGATGGACCACCTGATCAGGCTGATTCTGCATGGGCACGTTGTTCAGTCGCACCATGATCTCGACTGGTATTGGTACTCACGAAGTCACCTTTGGCTGTTTCGCAAGCGCTCAGGAATGCCATGAACGCGCGAGGGAGGGGTACAGGCATGAGTCGTTCGATCGTGAGTTTCTCGTCACGGAGAATGAATCCGCTCTGCAACGGATTCTCCAGATCTTGATGGCCATGGCACGCGAGGTGCAGGACATTTGTCTGTGGGAGAAGCTTTAGCAGTGTCTCCGCCGTGATCCCATTTCCGCCCTCAATGCAAGCGTCATCTGCGGGAGACAGCTCCATTATGGATCCGCTTGGTAAGACGGCACGGATCGCTCTCGCTTCTTCGCGCGTGTTGATGAGGTCGCTCCACTGCGACATGCTAGACCGAGGCGTTGCAGCGACGAGCGCGTGAATGTCATCCTTGAGGATGGGCGAATACGCGTTCCTGGCAGCGAGAAGGGACCCGATGGTTGGTACGTAGGAGGAGACGACGTAATCCGAGCACCAGTCTCCGCCAGCACCGGCTGCATGGATTGGTAAGTGAGCAAAGTTTCCAGTAGGGCACCACCATATGCGAGGACGGTTTCGACCTTCGGAGGGCTAGAAGCAACCGGTGAGCCTTATGCCACGATAATGTAGAGGGTTATCTCATACTTCGAGCCCTAGAGCATTCATGACCGGTCTCACCACCTCAATCCATAATTGGCGCAAGATCTCCTCGGCAGCCGTCCTTCGAGCCTTCGGGATTTTCGATTTTTTCATCTTTCTGCAGTTGCGCATCTCCGCCCTCGCCTCCACGATGATTGATCGCCACTCTGTGCCGGAATGTGCGAGCCAAGTATCAGGAAGACGCTCGATAGGAATGCTGACACAGTCGCCCCCCTGCTTGAGAAGGACAGCGTGGCACCCCAGCGCACTGGAAACCAACACTACGACCGGTCCTCTCTTGGAGGCTTTTCTCAGCGTCGTAAACTCGTCGTGTAGCAGGAATCTGTTCAGCCCAGGTTGTTTGCGAACCTGGTTGAGCAGCTTGTCGAATTCTTCGATCTGACCCCTTCTCCGTGCGATGTCCGCTTCGACGGCACCCGGGTTCTCGCCCGTAAACGAGCTGTCGCGCACTTTCTCCAGCTGTCGGGCAAGGATCAACAATCGTTCTCTGAGCTCCTTGGGCGCTGCGTCGAACGGAGAGCGCAAGCGTAGTGCATGGGTCCAGAAGACCGCACGGCCCTGCTCAAGGATTTCCAGAGCTTTCTGAGATGAACCGATGTTGAGCGCGTGAGATGCGCCGGTGAGAGCGATGCTCTGGCCGATAGCTAGAGACTGGAGCCGGGTATGAAGATGAAGATCAAAGAAGGCCACTCGGGGCAGAAGTCCCCCCACAAGAGCGAAGATATCCAGCAGTTGGCGATCTGCTGCGACCTCAGAGTGGACGATATCCTGATATTGCGACACAGCAATATCAAGTATGCGTCGTGCTCCTTCAATTCGAGAACGAACGTCCCGGTGTTCGTCGGATAGAGCACTGGCTAAATGCGAGAGTGCAGCTTGGATACTCCGATAAGATGTTCCTATCTCCATGTAAAGTTCTGCGGCACCTACGAGGCATTGAAACCTCTCGGGACGGCCAGGGTGAAGGGTATTCAACAAGTCAGTGATAATCTCCAAGGCATCGTTCGCGTCTTTGTGGCTGCAATTGAAGCGAAATCTGACGATATGACAGTCGGCGAGGGTGCTCAGAAGTTTAGGACCATTTGTTCGCTGAAGCATGACTTCCTTGATACGTGCTAACTCCGAGATGGAGCGGTCTATGTCCGCGACGTTCCCTTGATGTCTCCCGTGGCGTAACAGCGCTTTTGAGAGCTCGAGGATAACATCGCTGCGTTGTCCATGATCGGAAGCCATCGTATCCAGGACGGTGTTGCCGAGGGTAATCGCTTCTTCCAAAGCCTCGAATGAGCCCCAAGCGTCAAATAACATGCAAAGACGGGAGACAGCTTGAGCAGAAATCTCCGGATAGGACGTATGTGAGGTCCCAATGCTTGCTAGGGCCCTACGATCCCATTTGATGGCTTCATCGAGATCAGAGATGCGCCTTGTCTCGTTGAAGCGGAGCATCAGTGAACGCGCCAGATCGCGAGCGGGAACGAATCGCTCAGGGTGGGTAGTTGGCATTGAACCGATGATGGAACGTCCAAGTTGAATAGATTCTTCGAGACAACTTATCTCTCCGGTCCAGTTGTACTGCAGAAGCAATCCGTCCGCCAAGTGTTGCAAGTACACCCGATAGTTTGCGTGGTTGGGAGGGCATAGTCGCAAAGCTTCCCGGGTCAGAGTGATTGACTTTTCGAGGTCGCGCCCATCGGATGGAGCCAGCTGATGGCGAAGGCTCAGAAGACCTGCTACCACACTGAGGCATTCGGCGCGCCCCAGTCCATCACCAGAAACTTCTTTGAGAGTGTTCAGTCCAAGTCCAATCGCTTTGTTGAGCTCATCGATAGCGCCAGAGCGCACAGTCTTCAGATATAGCGACCAGAGCATCCCATATACTGTCTTGCACCGATCAATGTGCATCTCTGGACATAAGTGCACGGCCTGCGCGGAAACATCAAGGCATTCATCCAAATCTTCTGGTCTTCCGAAAATTTGGTATCGGTAGCATAGATACACCCCTAGGAATCGCAGGTGTCGATGTTGATCGTAACAATGAGATGGAGGCAGCTCAGCCAAGGCCTGCCGCTGGATGTTGACTGTTTCGTCGAGCAAGGTGTGAGATACCTTCTCGCTAGATAACCCACATAGAGTCCATGCCAGATTAAGGCGAATAGTTGCTGCCAAGT